GCGAATAGACGTTTCATAGAAAAATTTCTAAAGTCAAACTTATACAGCTGCTTTCAGTCTAATAACTTTTGACATAGATCAAAGCTCGAAAATCATTGAAATGTTATAACGATGTAATTATGTAAACGTTATTATTAAAATCATTTTAATAGTGATGTAGTTTAAATGGTGGTTTTATTATGATTGTGACTAGTATTTTTAAAATTAAAATCTTTCCATTAATTCTTTTGAAAATTTCGCTTTTGTGAAATCATGACTAATGTTCTCTAAAAACTGATAAGTCTTTAATACTAAACTCCATTAGTCCAAGATTAGTAATTCAAGCTAAAAATATATTAAACAATGTTTTTTTCTTAGCTTTTTTTTCAAATAATAGATTTTAAGCAAGATTATTTTGAATTATTAATAACGAAAAAAACAGCATAAATTATTATAGTAAAACAAAAACAAACACAAAAATAATAATTAAATAATATATACCAAAAAAATCGAAAATCTGGCGACCCACACAACGTCCATAGATGCCAAATAAATTGAAAAAAGACTAGCAATGCAAAAGCCGCTTGAAAAGCACAAAACTGTACAAAAACTAATTTTTTTCCTTAATTTTACGAAACTTTTGCACGAAAAAGCAAAATATTTGAGTATTTTTACGCAACTCAAAAATGAGTGAGAGAGAGAGAAACAAAGGCAAAAACAAACTCTTGCTTTCTGTGACATTTGCCACCCACGACATGTCGTTGCGCAAAGACTGCAATATCTCAGTTTTACACTCTTCCTCTCTACTCACTCACTGACTGCTTTGAATACTAATAAGCAACAAATAAGCTCTCAAAATCAAAACAATAGCAAATGTTATAACAAATGCACAAAAAAATTCTCAAAGCTTTTTCAATCAATTTTTTTTTTGTTTTTTTTTTTTGAATACTTTTTGCCACTTCTAACTGTCAACGTCGCTGCTGCTATGTGGTATGGCAAAAAATGATTTTCAGTGCAGCAAATTTTCCCGCTGATTTCAGTTATCAACAAAACGAGCAACAAAGCAGCCGTAAAGCTTGAAACGGACACGCGTACACCACTAAAGAATAAAGAAAGGCAGAACCAAACGAACGAAATTATAATTTAATTATGAAAATAATTAAAGTTTTTAGAATTTTTTAACAAAATACGTGAATTCTAAAATTTTTATAAAATATTTTTTGGCAATAAAATTAAAGTGAAATATATCAATTGATCATCATTCGTGCCACAAGTGTTAAAAATATTTTTTTTCTCACAAATTTTGTTCTTATTTATTTTCAAAAAAAAATATTTAAATTGGTTTTAATTTAAATTAAAACAAATATTATTTTTTTTCACTTGTTTGTGGTCAAAAGTGTTGAAATAAATTTAAAAGTGCTTTACAACAGCAACAGTTTTTCACTGCAGCAAAGTAAAATAGTCAACAGCGCGACTATTTCTGTATAGCATTTGCAGCATCTACCAACAACAATAACAACGAAGTCAGCTACTACACAACAACAAAAACTACCGTAGTTGCCACAGTCGCTGGTGGTATTTTTTTTTCTTACAGTGTTCAGTGTAATTGCAATCTTTCTTCGCAAATTCTTGGTATGTTGCATCCTTTTATTCAAAATTATGTCCTTTTGTTGTTGTCTTTTACGTTGAAATGCATTTTCCTACTATCATTTATTACTCGTGCTTTGCATAGCTGTTGCAAATTGAAACAAAAGTAGCTATAATTATGGATTTACATGCATTTCCTTGCAAGGACTTCCATATTTTCTGCTTTACGAAACTTTTCAAGTGTAAAAGTTCTTATCTAGATGCAACCAATTAATTAAGGATATTGATAAAATAGTGAAGTAGTGGAAATGAATAGAAAGAACATTTCATTGCAATTGTAATAATGGACTTTAAAACTTTTCTAGATGTGAAAAGAATCAATAAGTTAAAATGTTCGGCAATTATTATAAGATAGAAAAAAAACCAACTAATTATTTTAGGGTAATCTAAAAAATAAAAATATTTTAAGTAAAGAGTTAAATAGAAAAAATGCTATATAAAATAGAAAAGTAGTATAGATTTAAAAAAAATATAAATATACCATACTTAAAAAAATATAAATATGTTTATAAAAAATATAAATATATTAAAAAAAAATATAAATATACTTAAAAAAATATTAATATACTTAAAAAAAATATAAATATATTTAAAAAAATATAAATATATTTAAAAAAAATATAAACATATTTAATAAAAATATAAATATATTTAAAAAAAATATAAATATATTTAATAAAAATATAAATATATTTAAAAAAAATATAAATAAATTTAAAAAAGTATATATATATTTAAGGAAGATCATTAATAAATGTGTAAAATTATTCCATGTAAAAATTAAATTGAATAAAATATAGGAAAGGTGTGTTAAAATCTAATTGATTTTCTATAATATCTAAGAACGAATGCTTTAATTAAAAATCTGATATAAATTATAAGGTAGATCAAGTATGAAAAATATAAACTAAGAGTAATAAAAACATATAATGATTACCTCTTCTCTTTTTGCTTATATATTGTTTTTTCGAATAGTTTTCCAGTAATAATATATTGCTTAAAATATGTATGTAATACTAAGCCGTTACCGTATTCCTTTAAAAGTTTAAATCCACTCAAGAGCCTCATACCAAACCGTAAATGCAAATTTTTTAAATATATATCTTAACATTATTGCAACGGAACAGGCGGTTGACCAATCTAACCGAACTTGTTCTGCGCTTTCCGATATAATAAAGCTAGTGTTTCACCAACAGCAATAGTTCAATAACAAAATCTTTAAAACGTTTTCTCCAAAGCAACAAATCACATATTATATTCCATTATTTGATGTTATCTTCTTTTAGTTTTTATGACATTAGATTTAAACGCATTTTGAACAATGCCAAGTTTAAAAAATTTTGATTTTGACATGAATATTCATCGAATTAAGTATCTTCAAATGTTAGAACTGATGTTTGAAGCACTATGTCTTTCAAATAAAAATTGTATTCTTTAAAACAGCAAGTAACTATTTAAGCTTTCTTTAGACAGAAGCATTCTTCAAAGATTTTTCAATAAAATAGTGCTCTGAACACATTCTGTGTTACTGTGATAGTCTCGCCAGACTCAGACTTCGGTACTAATCCACTGCCTATCCTCTTATAACGGTATTAGATAACATCTCTTCAAAAGACATAATGGCGTTCTTAATTGCTACTGTCCTATGGAACTTTAATCTTCAGAGGATGCAGTGACGTGGTGACAAGTTCCGAACCCGTTCTAAAATCTAGTTCACATGACATTCAATTTTAAAGTCTATTAAACCATGATAACGTTAAAAAATATTGATACCGTTAAATTTTTTTATCATTTCTCATTGACATGAATATTCATCCTTTTTATTAGCTTGGGTTATCATAGCTGTTTTGTTTGATGTTCCATCCCTTTTGTCTTTTAAATGAGAACCGTTGGTTTAAAAATAATTAAATAATTTCAAATCTTCTTGTATTTCAATTAAACTGTATTTCAGTTTTTTATTCAAGCATTCGATACTATTAAAAAAAATCACTAAAATTTAACAATATATTTCTTTTACAAGAGTTTTTTACCTCTCAAATAGCTAATTAATATATAAAAAACATATAATATATGTACTTCTCTCAAACCAATAAATTAAAAAGCTTTGATGATAAAAATTCCAGTAGACTGAAATATTCTGTGATGTTTTTTTTATCACAATTTTCAGTCTTTTATCCTTTGCAGTCTTTTGATGCGTTCATGTTCATGTCAGTATTATTAAGTATTGTCTTTGTTATCCTCTTTTTTCCTTTTTATTTTATATCCTTGGTAACGTAAAACAAAATAAATACGCCGTTAGAATATAAATAAAATAAATACAGCAGATGCTGTGATATTGATAAGGATACTCATGCAGTCATGCTGGAGATAATGAAAAAGTTATTTTTTGTCTTTCCTATTCCTGAGGTTATATTCTGTTGAAAAGTTTCCTGACATGACATTTAATTTTATTTTGATATAAAACATGGAAGCAGCAAATAGAATGAGTGAGAGAGCAGTTAAAAGATAAAGTAGAACTTAATTAAAAACTGTCAAAATAGTAGAAGAAAGGCAAAAAAAAAATATTCTGAAATACACCAAACGCACAATTTTTAATACCAACAACAGATACAATCGTAACTGACATAAGGACATTCCTTTTTATTATTTATTAAACAGCAATCAAACATACTTGCATTTAATTTAATTAAAAATATTTCTTTTTTTTTTTCTTTAAATCGAATTTAATATTTATTGTACAATTTTGATTATAGGTTTTTTGGGTACTTTTCTTGCTAAAGGTCTGAAAACAAATCAATTGGAGGTAAACACAGATGAAAAAACCTTGCGTCCAATTGCACGTTTGAAGGAGCCAAGAGATCTTTTCGCGCTGCCTAAGGACAAGGATAATGTTTGCTCACAGCAGGCCCCCAGATGGCCTGTGGAGTGTCAGGTAAGTTCTTTTATTTTATTATTATATATTATAAGTATTGTTATATTGCTCAAAAAGTTTCTATCCCTCGTCAATACAAGTTTCATTTAAAATTGATTTTTCGCAAGTTCATGTCAAATAAAATGGATGTGATGAGTTGAGTTCGTATGTGCAAACTACAAGTTGTAAAACTTTGCTTAGTACGTTTCTTTCACTTTGGTGTCTTTTTT